ATCTGTGAGTTAGCCGTGCCCTGCCTTTGATCAGCCCAGAGGTTTGTTTCGGGATATCGATTAAATGTGGAAGTCTTTTAAATCAAACCAGAACATCGACTATCTCACCTGCCATTTGAGCATGCCGTATTTCTGTAGCAAGTTCTCTTCATAAGTGTCTGTGTCATCAGAGATGAGTGGATTCTCACTGTACAAACCCCAGCCTTCAGTGAATGCCGTGTAATATGTCTTRGAGTCCAGCCATGAAGGAACTCCACCACACGAGTCCTGGAAGTGTTCCTTCAGACCTGCATTAGATGAAAAGAGAATAAATCAGATAATCTGATGCGATGGGACTCAAATCTATCTCTTTACCACGAGAAATTCCTAATCAATCCCAAAATGGACAGCGCTCCACATTGCCATAACCCCGATACATCACTTCCTTCTTTTCAAAGAAGTTTCTATCGACCCAAATGATTTGTCCAGTACCCAGTATTCCACTCGTCAAGAGCAAATTGTCTTTACCCAGTACCCAGTCTTCCATTCGTCAAGAGCAAATTGTATGTACCCAGTACCCAGTCTTCCACTCGTCAAGGGCAAGTTGTCTGTACCAGTCTTCCGCTTTCAAGTACAAATTGTCAGTACCCAGTCATTCACTCGTCAAGGGAAAATTGTTTGTACCCAGTACCCAGTCGTTAGTCCACTCTTCAAGGACAGATTTACTGTTTTACCTTGTACTTGGGTGTGATGACCAGGTCTAGCTTCATGTGCAGTTACAGACCACTCTTGAAACACAGGACCGTAGTCCTTCAAGAAGAACGGCAGCCCAAAGTAAGTAGGCTTGGAGCACTGAGAGTCGCTCTGTCTGAAGAACTGTGCGCCATTGGATGGGTTGTAATGTGGTAGCATCTCTACTGGACAGTTAGGTGCGGTGTTCTTCTCTCCAGCAAAGTAAAAGAGCTTTGTTATCTTGGGATACAGTAATCCCATGACCTAAAATGATTGGAAGATTAACGGAGCGTTTTTGGGTTAGTCAAATACCGCTGTGTTCCTTGACTACAGGCTCATTTAATCAAGCCTCATTTCAGTGGCTAAATATATACTAATACCAACGGTGAGATGAAGAATGCAAAACAAAGCTCCCCAAAATCCTGCCTGAGAACATGGGTGTTATCAAGAATTTTATTGTGTCATGGCCAATTCCCATAAGCTTTTCTTAGCCAAACAAGTTTATTTCTGTAGCGATATGTCAAATACAGGGGCGGCGGAACCGGGGGGCYCTGCCCCCCACCCCCCCAAATATTGGTTCTTAGTCATTGTTTTACGGCGCATGCGTCTGCAATCAAACAAAACATTGTCATTATCACATAGCGTTAAATATAATCTTTAGTGCCCCCCCAAAGATTTTTGCAGTGCCCCCCCGCAAAGATTTTTAGCTTCCGCCGGCCCTGAAATATCCAGTAAGATATGGCCAAGTATCTACTCACCTCTCTACAGTAGGATGCCCATCTCTGAATCGCTGCCCAGCGAACTGGACAATACTTCTGAGCAGTTTCTGGGCTGACGCATTTCTTGAATGCATTGCCATCGGATTCATTTGAAGGAAATGAACCATTGTTATGCCACATCACGCTGGAATTAAGGGTTTTCTTGAATTCCAAAATAGCTTCAGATTCGTTTGATTTCTTAGTGTAAATCTTTGTAATCTTTTTGATCTTTGGGGAAAATCATATAAGAATGTTTCACAACTTGAATTATATAGTCAGATACTGAGTGCACGATATGTAATGGCTTTAGTTTTGAAGAATCTTACTCCTTCTCTTCGTGTCTAACTTGAGACTTGCCACCCTCCCCAAGGGAAAGAACTCAAAACGAAGAGCGACTGTTATAGTTACTGACTGTCATAAAAAATTGGACTTCCTTTATTTAAATCAGTTTTGATGGATTACTAATGTCATATCCAAAACCTTTTTCAAAAGGCTATTTTCCCTCGTAACAAGCTTTCGATTTAGAGATACGAAGAAGTTTGTTTGCCTTCCAGCAAAGCCTTGGAACTTTGCCTGAATTGATTCGCTATCAAAGTGAAATATTGAATTATGAGTTGAATTCGAGATTAAGGTCGTAACAAACGATTTTAGTAGAAGAAATCTGGAAAAATGTCTGTGAGATCTTGGATAGTTCAATTCTGGAAGCCAAACTACTGCATTTCTGATGGAGAACAACTTATAAAAGCTGGAAGTAAGTAAACTAATAATGAGAAAGGGAAAGCCAATTAATCCATTCATTCAAAACGCTCTCAGTCCCAACACTCCGTAGTATGAATATCGGTAAGGATGATAATCCGTGCTATTAGAAGGTGGAGCCAGACTGGAGTGCACTCGCTTTAATACCCGAAGGGTCTGTGGCCGGAGAGCAGTCCAGGGACGGCGGAGCCGGGGGGGCTGGGGGACTTTAGCCCCCCCCCCCCCACTTTGTGAAATTTTAATACATTTTCACTAAACTCAGCCCCCCCACCTTGCCATACAATGTCACTATTGAGCCCCCCCAATCAAAAAACTGCTCCGCCGTCTCTGCAGTCGCGCGCGAGATAGAATGGAATACAACTGCGAGACCCACCGCCTCCCCCTCAAATTTAAAGAAAGTGGTTCATCATAAAGTTACCTCGGTGTAAAACTCATCAAGCTGTTTCATTCCTTCTTCATAGATTTCCTCAGGAGAGATATCAGTAGTTGTGAAGTAAGACAAAATCATTCGGTACGTCTCGGTTCCATTCAGTACCTCACCCGTTGGCAGCGTTTTTGTCGTTCGATTCTTCCAGTCCGGCTTACTATCGGTGTATACATAATCCACAGGCAACCCACCAAGACCACTAGCAACATCATTGGGCAAGCAGTGTCTCATATGATCAAATTCAAGGTAATTCAAGAGATCGGTCATTGGCTGACCAATACCATAAATGAGAGCTTCCCTTATAGAAGTACTGATGTTTCTTCCTGGATGTTTGTTCGCCCATGAATCCTCCACGCCGTTTTCTAGCTTGGAAAGATATTTCTTCTGAAGGTATAGTTTAGTGAACCATTCTTGTAGGACTCCAATTGAGTCGTTTGCAAGGGATATTTTAAGGAATGCCTGCTTTAGAGCGTCAACTCCAGCTATGCAGTCGATTTTTGTACGTATCATCCCTGTAGTAACGCCTAAAGCAACGTTGCTCCTAAAAGACAAACAGACTTGTCATTCTTATTCCTGAATCCTTCTTTTCTATTTTCAGTATTCACAGTTCTTTTTTGTATTTTCCTTTTTTTTTCTTCACTCCTCACCCCCTCCCCTGGGGGTATTAGACTACAATTCGCACTAAAACTGGCTCATACTCACTTCCCTTCCCTTCCAAACACAACATAAACTACATCCACTTCACCCCCCTCCCCGGCTTCACAATGATGAGAWGATGAGCTTCTGATTTCAGAAAGGGATGAACCTCGTACTGAAACGACACTAAACTATTAGGGAGGGAGGTGTGGTAAGAGTAAGTAGGGATTGATTTAGAATTGAAAGGTATTTGGCTCGCTGGAAGCGTAATGAGAAGAGTCTCCACAGTTTTGGTGCAGACTGTATCTACTTGCTCGCTCGGCCAATTCATAGTCATGGGCTACGAAGTTGTTACCATCCTATTTTTGAATTGGATACTCTCACCTGTACTGATCAATAGATTGCTTATACTTTGAGATAGTTTTGATGACGTGTTCAACGTCATCATACGTCACTGGTTGGAAATGATATGCGAAGGCATTGACGTCATAGTCGATATTACAAATTGCCATCCAGCAAAACAGGTTTGGGCCAAGCATCCAGTCACCGGCATAGTAGTTCTCTTCGTATGGAACACCGAATGTGTGCTTTAGAAAATGTTTTACCTGCCAAACAAAGATAGGGGGCAGGTCACTATTTATCGCCTTGGCGGTATAGGGTTGGGGATTAGGGGGGTGTAGGGTGGGGGGTGTAGGGTGTAGGGTGGGGGATTCGTTCGCAAGTGCCACCAAGAGGAACTATTTTTGTAATCCCTCCCTTACTTGAGGCTGCTACTTTTTTATCTTGGGATTTTTTGACCTTTCGGTATTGTTGTTATAGTCACAGTTGTTATTGCTAAGTACTGAGTGAAGTAGCCTGTACCGTGATCAACGAAAACATGGTGTTATGCGGAATGTCCACTATTTAACGCCAAAATAATTCATTATTGATTATTGATTCTACCAGCTTATTAGATCCGTACTGAAGAGGCCTAATACAGGCCGAAACAGCTGTCCACGGTTTCTAGTTGACCTGGCTCATTTGGGCGACTTGAAGTTGTGAAAGGCCCATTGGCCCTCTTCTTAAGTCGTTTCATAAAAGGCTCGTAATTTACCTATTACGCATGTTCTCATTAAATTAGTGAACAGAAAACAACGTACAGCTTTGAGCCTGATGCAGCATCCAACAAAATAAGTTTTCAAGTAAAAATTTCTTTTATACAGCACTGTAATCTGGATAGAATCTTTCGCCGTTAATCCACTTAAGGTTAGTTTTGTCGCCAAACTGAGGATGATCAAGGCAATAATCCTTTCCTGTCTTGATATCTTGTTTCTAGATTGTCGTAATTCAATTAATCCCTAAAAGTAATCATCGTGAAGGATGCTATTATTCTTCATCATTATCATGAACAAACCTGTGCAACATTGTCGTCTTTTTGTTGCAAGCTATATCTTCATATATCATTCACCACTATAGACCTTATTCGTAGTGTGACAATGTTTTCCCAATTCAGCCTGACAAACCTCCAGAGGATTCATTTTCTTTTGTTTTTACTCTTCGAAAAATTCATGAGTATCCCAAAGCATACGAAAGGAATAACGATGATATCCCGACGAGTTACAAAACAATAGCTCTTCATTCCCCCAGGGGTTTGTCACGCTGAATTGGGAAAACATTGTCACACCACGAATAAGGTCTATTGACATTATCGTCATAGCTATCGTTTATCACCATCATTTTAAACAACATCATCATCACCATTATCATCATAAACAAACTTGTGCAACAGCCTTGCTACCATCAATATCATCGCCTCCTCCATCATCGTCATCATCATCTTCAAAGTTCCCCACCACCATCATTATCATCGTCACCATTATCATCATCATCATATCCTAACCTGTGCAACGGCCTTGCCTTCCCTTGGCTTCAGTTTGTCCATGTCTATTTTCATACTGCTGATTTCATCGTACAATTTCTTCGCAGCATCTGTTCTCTTTTTTAGTGTTTCAGGTGTTGGATCATAAGGTACGTACCTAAAAACACAATGATATGTCATTTCTCATTAGGCTTCTCCCTTGAACCCTGACTTATATGATCAGCCCAGACATTCAGTCATTCAGTCAGGGTAACGATAACATTCAGTTGCATGTTGAAGGTAAATTTAAAATCATTCTTAGTCTGTAGTAAATCCTTCGAGCAGCTGTTAAGTGTTGTATTCAGAGGCCTAACGCCATCAAGACCGATTAGTTTGCGCAAGTGTGACGTCAGTCGGATGGTAAAACGACTTCCGGGTCCAAAACGAAAAGCACTGGTTCTATAAAGATTTTCTTGGCTAGTTTTTCTTCCTGACAGGATTTGTTGTCCAAAGCTTTTGTTTCAGGGAAGTTCGATCATCGAGGAAATTTTTTGCTATTATTTTAGCGTTTTTTAATGAGCAGTTGGGACCGGAAATACGTCCCAGACGAATAATAGGGAGTTTAAGATTTGCAAAATCTAGGACGGCGACGTCAACCGGAAGTGTAAATAATTTCTCTTTGGGGTTCTGTTCATTGGAGATTTCATTCAAAACATTGTCAGTAAAGTCAACTCATCCACTGGGAAGACAGACTTTGAAGACGCCCGGACCCTAAAGTGAAGTTATTTACACTTCCGGTAGACGTCGCCGTCGTATATTTTGCAAATCTTAAAGTCCCTAATGTTTCATTTTGGCCTTTTGGCTGTCAATGGAAGTGGGCTAATTTGGAAACCGGTAGAAAAAGACGATTCCGAAAAGTGTTCTATATTAGCAATAGTTTTTCTTTGGCTTTGTCTTGGCTGAGAAAGGGACTTCATAAAGACCATATGATTTTTATGCTCATTTGAGCGTTCGATTGTTAAATGGTTGAGTAAAGTGATCAATTACTGATTGAATGAATGATCGCTTTGTTGATTGATTTCTCACTGATGATATCCGAGGAGGCGGAGACATGTTAGCAAACAAAGTTTCAAATATCTCCCCGATATATAAATATATATCCGTCAAGCACATTCTATATATCCAGGCTTATCTTCTTAATTAAATCAAGGGCATAATTGACCTTTTATGCTATATACGATATATGTACATAAATCAGCACTTTCACTCGACCTAGCTCGTGTTTCTGTATCACATCACGAGGAAATAATTTACACATCTTTTGCTGACGGCTACGAAACGCGTACCTATCAATTAAATCTTACCCAGAAAAAAAGCAGTGTAGATCGTTATATTAGTAGCGTAGCTCTCAAAACACTAATGAATATGGACATGCTTATACAACACCAAAATAATAAAAACTTTTTAATAAAGAGAGTTTGCAAAACTGAATAAGCTTAATCTCCTTCACGTCAATGGTAGCCTCTCTGACTGACACCAAAGATGGCTTTAGAAAAGACTTAAAGCCTCGTAGTCTCAGCAAAATTAATTCTATAAATGTATGAAAGTAAATATTCATGCTTACAGTGCTCTGACGTGCTGGCTTTGATCTTCAATATCGGGTTGCCATGCCACGCTATCAGGATTCATTTCGTAGTATTTCTTCTGAACTTCTTTCAGGAAGCCTTCCAAGTCAAATCGCTTAGCTTCTGGAGAGAACAAGCACGCTTCTTTCTTGGAAGAAACGGCTTTATTAGTCGCTGGACAAGAGCTTGGACTCTTGAAAGTTGCTACGAGTATACAGACAAGACCTCCAATAAAGAGAAGACAAGCGATCACCACAACAGGCCAGAACCTACGTGGATGATTGTTTTCCGAAAAAGAGATCTGTGATGTCCTGATCAACTGATCATCTGTGACCATTTCAAGTTTATCATCACCCTCTAAGTTCCTTCGCATGACCACTTTTGACATTGTGGATTTATGAGCTCAACAGTAAAGTAAATATGTCTGTGCAGCAAGAGCAATCAATATAAAGGACCATGCACGAGGTACCACAGCGAACCCGACAAGGTTGAAAGACTTGCGCTCTGATTGGCTGAACTACTAGTAGACTATTAGTGATAGAGCACTAACGAAAAGCGCCGGTTTTAAAATCGAAAAATGGCAGCTAACTTGTGTTTTCAACCTGACTTTTAGGCTAAAAACGATTAAACCCCTCACCTTCATGGTCTAAGTATACCTATGTGTGAACGCGTTTTGGCGCGAAAGTTCCCGCCGAATCCACAGGAGCCCCAACATTATAAGAACTGAATCTTTTATTTCCAAAGGAATTTTCTGTTATCCTGAAATATATGGAAGGATGAAGAACTTCATTCATCGGAAATCATATAGGTAGTGTGAAACGAGTTTGAAGAAACGTCCACGTTTTTTTTTTTTTTTGCTAATTATCTGGTCTTCATTCGTGAACCTGGGGCCGGGGGGGGGGAGGGACTCGTCGGAAATTCCGAAAATGACCCCTAAAAGAGTCCTGTATTTTGGGATGATGAGCGTGACAGTGATGAAATTTCACCCATAAGAGGGAACAATCAATAACCCCCCCCCCTTTTTTTTGTTTGGTTTCTCGATTTTATTTGCATCAAATACCGTCTGCTCTAACGAGTTTATGGCGACGTCGTCATATATAAATCGCTTGCCTTTTGTAGTTTATAGTGAATAAATTTTCAAAAGTTGTTGATCTTATGCCCTAAAAGGGAACACAAAATTCAGTTGGTGTGCATTCCCGTCGTTATCAGCCTAAGCGGGACCAAAACCCGGATTTCAAACTCTAAAAGGGACGACGAGGACCCCGCCCCCTTTTATAAGGGAGTCCCCCCGCCAGGATTTGTGCACCTTTTTTGCGAGAGAGTTGCACGTGATACCTAGAATTCATTCCTCAAAACCAAGCAGTGCTGCCTGCTTTTGCACTAATTCCTTGTCTATTTCCTCGAGAAAATTAAACCGGCTGAACGCAGGCTAGTTAATTTGCTCAGAGCTTTTACAGGGTCCAAAAACGTTTATGCGTATAATGGATGAAATTGGTAGCTGATAATAGAACATTTTGGGTGGACAGAGCCATCAAGTAGGCGGGAGGGGATCAAGACTCGATTTCTGTCGCTCCAGGACAAAAGCCAAAGGTTTTTCATATTCCAGCTGGTGATAATTAAATCAGTACCTGCGTACCATATGAGACTGATTGTACCTGCAAAGTAGATGTCAAGCTCAGTCTCAGTGAGTCAAGCCCGGGTTATGCAGGGGCGTAACCAGGGATCTTGCAGGGGAGGTACACAGGCAATGATTTGCAGAACCCAATAAAAAAAAAGGTATCCAAACAAAAATAGCGGCAGAACCAGAAAAAAATTACACAGCCGAAAAAAAAAGGGATAATGGGTGATTGATTCTTTAAAATGCTATAATATGCAGATGGAGTGGTCTTCATTTAATCAAAAAAACATTTACATGCAATTTTACAGCAAAAGAAAATGCATGGATGAGCGGACCTTAAGCTTTAATGGGGGTGGGGTTCACGTGCACCCTGTGCTTCCCCCCTGGTTACGGTCCTGTTATGATTAAATTTCAGTCTTGTGTCAAACAGATGCTCTGAAAGACAAATGAGTATATTCTCTAAGAACACTGTTAGTAGTTTTTAAAAAAGCATATTACAAGTTCACCATATGTTAGTCTCCCCCGCAGCCGCTTTTAGTGTCGTCACGCAACTAATCGTATGTGGGATGCCAGAGATTTTAACACCACAGGAATCCCATTTATGATTGTCCATATGAGTCATAATATTTTAAACCATTTTAACGTTTTTCCCGTACCCTTGGTTTCACTATTGCGTCTATAGTCTGATATAATATTTATATATTTCTTGTGAATACTGTAAACATGTCAGTTATAGTCAGTTAATATATTTTCTGTTGCAATTTAGGCTTGGTTGGTCGCTATGGTTTCATATTAATGGCAGTGTTTTACAAGGATGATTGCAAGACCTATACAACCACTCCATCACTCTCTCCTGCGACGAGAGCTGTCGAAGGCGAACAAATATCCTTGGTTTTGAATTTTTGTCCTGAAAAACCCCAGGCATTAAAGATAAACTCTCAGTTGTCTCTGTCAACGTAGTACCGTTCGAGTTTGAGGTTTGTTGACTCGAAGAAGACATAGTGTCGTCTCCTTGCCAAGCACTTGTCGCTCCAGAAAACAAACTTGTATCGTTTACCGTGGCGCTAGGCCGTATATTTTGAACTATTCCTCGCTCTGTGACAACCATACGTCGAGGTTTACCCTTGTATAAGCACAATCCTTTCTCATTTTCAGTATGTTTCAGCGCTCTTTCTACGCGGTACGATATTCTTCGAGGCGTAAAAAGAAGTCCAAAGTTTTTAGTGTTTTGAAGTCCTTGAACTATGCCAGTAGTAGTGTGAGGTCTTAAACGGTTTTCCTCGACATTTGTTCGTAAAGAAAGCAAAGGTGTTCTTGAATAAGCTCCTTGCTGCTTCATGTCCTTATGTTCTTGATACATTGGGAAGAAGACATCGTAATCTAGCTCCTTTCGTCTCGTGCAGACAGCGGAATGTGCCCTTAGGTTAAACATGCTCGTCATCAATGTTGTAGTTAAAAATTAACCGTCCAAATGCGTGAGCAGAGGAAGGGATCATCGATATTGGCATTTCACAACAAGATGTCACGAAGTTCAATGAATTAGTATCGCTTGAGTAAACAATTTTCTCATAAATTTATTCAAATTGCCCAATTCATGAGGTAAGAAAAAAACAATGAGACAATAAACACAGTCAAAGTTACTGGCATGTTATTCGTGTTCTCCATTTTAATTAAGATTTCTCGCTCCAGTTCTGTTCTGAAAAAGATAAGCTGCAAGTACTGCTTCAAAAGTCATTTCTAGTTCTTCTACTGTCTTAACTGGCAGCGTTCTACTCGGGTGCTGCTTCAAGTGTCTGCTCTGCTGCAGGTTCTACTGATCCTGCTGCTTGTCAGGCCTGCTGCATGTTCTACTGGTGCTGCTGCTTGTGTCTCACTCTGCTAGTAGGCAGGTTCTACTCATGTGAAGCTGCTGCTTGTGTCTGGCCTGCTGCTAGAGCAGGTTCTACTGGTGCTGCTTCTAGTGACTCAACAGGACCAGGATAACCTGCAGCAAACCAAGTGCCTTGGTCTGCTGTAGGGTATGCTTGTCCTGCTGCTTGTGTCTGGTCTGCTGCAATATATGCAGGTTATGCTGCTTGTTTCTGGTCTACTCCAGATAGTTCTACTGGTCCTGGATTTGACACATCGAAGTTTGAGGCTAAAATTGAGCAATTCAGCCTTGCTACTGAGAGAACAACTTTAGAAGGTTCAAATAGTGCTGCTTGTCTAATTCTGTCTCTGTGTGCCTAGACTTTGCTCACAACTTCGTCATTTAATCGACGAACAAATTTCTGCTGCTGGGTTTCGTTTTCTCTCGGAGAGTCGTCGTCTCCGACTCGGATATCTCCCTAAATTTCCTTCCTCGATCTCTTCAATCTCCTGAGTGATATCTTGTTGTTTTTCACCTAACGAACAAGTGCTTTTGTTTGTGTAGTATCGGTACGCAAGGTAGCCGTTAGTCGCTACTCCGCCCACCGCAAGACTTCCTAAAAATATCTTCTATACTAACCACATGATTTAGTACTATGTGAATATTGCGCTCAATAAGATATAATAATTCTGTTGGTAACAATTTAATAAAATAATAAAGAAATTTAAGAAAATTTTCATTGTGACCCCTTGATTATTTATGGCGTCATTTTAATTAACCAATCATAAGCTTGATATCTCATTATTACGTCTACAAGTAAAAAATGCGCGTGCCTTGGAGCTCACGCTTTCATGAAGTCAGAGCGTCGTATAAATAGACTACGTTTGGATCCAAAATGAAAAACAAAAAAACTGAAATACTAAGAGTTTTGCTTTTCCCCCTCCTTTATAGCAGGAATTGTTGTTCAAAATTTTCTTTGTTTAAGGTGGAGATTTAAAAAGTTTTCTTCCCTTTGTATTTAACTTGGCTTTGATATAAGCGACTGTCCTTCTGTTCTTGAAAATATGTCATAACGTAATGAAAAGGGCAGGAATGGTGACCGTCGACTTATATATAGCTTTGGCGTACAATATTCTGTATGATGGGAGCTAATGAATGCTTGGATTCGTGCAAGCATCGAGCCTTTTCTCTAGTTTAGCTACTTATCGCCCAATAGTTCAGCGTGTTTTCAAAGCCAAACGTCCTTTTTTTCAAAAATGTCCTTTGATGTTGAAACCCAATGATAATAAGGTACCGAGTGAGCATCTAGATCTAGTGATAGCGTTACCATGGCTACCGGTTACTATTAGTTACATCATATAGACGAGACCGAGTAAAGCTATTTACATACATGCAGTAATGGCTTCCACTATTGAATATGTGCTTTTACGCATCCTAACTATAGAATCAGTTTTGGTATCTCAGAAACGTCTGAATAAAAATACTGTATTTTAATTCCAATAAAGACAGAGAAGTAAAAGCTCTTTGAAAACATGTGATGAAGCATATATAGCAATGAGAAAACTAAGACCAGTTGTGCAGAAAACCGCGGTGGTAAAACCAATAATTTTTATATGCGGCTAATGCAGGTTTAATGAAACAGGGATTTAAAGCTGAAAACGGACGGAAAAGCTAAGACGGCTATTTTAACCTAAAAATAAGCACTTGCTACGTGCCATACGCCGCAGTGTATAAATATACGAACGCAATACTATCACTCATAAAATAAAGCTAGAAGCGACTGCAAAACGATTTATCAGATCTTATAAGATTGGAGGGTTTGAAAGATTAGAAATATAACAAAGGAAAAATGTTTGAACAGGAAATAAGTTATTTTACCAATATTAATGACTATTAATATTCATCAACTTTGAATTTACTTTTCGCTAAATATGTGAAAGAATTAATGGAAAAATATTTGTCCCTGGCTTGATGATGCTGCAGTCAAAATTGAATAAAAGAACCATTTGAGTGATCAATTTTTGTTTTAGTATAATTGACTGTTGTTGTTGATTTTTAGATTTCATGTTCAGTCTGAGAGCAAAAATAGTCCGAGCAATATTCTGGAGACAAAATCATGGCGAACGAAATGCGTAATATTTACGTCAGTATGGGGGAACTGATTGATGATAAATTAAACAAGACGTCCTACCACATCAGACTAAAATATTTTACAATAATACAAGAATCCTGAGGTTTTCTCGCGGAATGGATTCCATTTCATAGTCTTAGACATAACTAATTCTTTTTCTTCGTTGTGTATTAAAATATTAGGTGTGTGGGCTAGGACTTAGTTTTTCAACGTTAAACTTCCGGAGAAAGTATTTGATTTTACAGCGGTTTATACATTTTATTTTCTTGGATTATTAAAATAAAGGATGAATTTAAACCTTTTCCTCATTCAGCTATGATTAATCCACTCATTATTACTTTTTCTTTTGTGTGTGTGTGTGTGTGTGATATGGAAAAACTGAAATACAAAATAAAAGAAAATTTTGATTTTTGGTGAAGACCGTTCACTGAACCGTAATAGCAACGTGAAGTCGAATAAATTTGCCGATGTTATAAAAGGAAAGGCATTATTCTGCTCCTGTTTAAATCACAGCATATGAATGGCCAATTTTAGATTTAACAAAAGGAAAGATATGGTGGTTAGAATGATGCGCAATGGAAAATTCTACGAGAGAGGACATGTCTTCGCCGGTTTTCGGTCTTATACACCGTTCAAGATCGAGAGTGATTGTCATGATTCTTTCATTTTCAAATTCAAATTCAAAAGCTTCAAGTTTTAAAAACGACAGCGATTTGCCTTATTTTCGTCTCTTCTCCCTAAGAATGCACCTGCTTCGATGTTTTTTGTGATTCCCAAGGATTCTGTTGGTCGATCTCCTAATTCACAAAGTGACGTAAATCCGGTGTTAGGCAAAGCATTTCAACATCGAGCCATTCACATCTCAGATCATCAGCTGTCATCCAATAGAACTAACTATTTTGGGTCTTTCTTTCTTAATTAATATTAGTGAAAAAACACCCTTGCAAGCAGAACACCGATCACAAAATTAAATTTTAAAACGAAAAAAAGATTCCGCCGACGACCCCGTTACGCGGGACATCAGAGCGCGTTTTTTCGACAGGTTTCTCATCGAATATTCATCAAAAATTTCATTCGTAAAACATTTTCTAAGTTTATTTGATGTTCTGAATATTCGTTTTGAGAGGTTTTTCTTCAAGGATATTTTTCTGGCGCTAAGAGAGGAAATTCTTCGATCAAATCACTCGCGTAGATAAATTATTCAAGATCGTGGTGGTATATGTGCAAGCCTTATAATTATTCTGCTTGGAAAAGCTCGTCGCCGATTGGTCAGATCGTGAAGACTGAAGATTTTACCTTCTCGTCGATGGAACTTGTCTTCGTAATGTCGTAAACTAAGCGCAAGAAATACCAACATGGCTTTAGTTCTACTCCTAAAAACGTGCACCAACTTGCACGGTAAAGCTGACAGAATCGCCAGGGTCACATTTAGAGGTGAGTTTGAATGTAGAAAGAGATTTTACAGCGAATTAGTGACTGACAATCGAATATGGAAGGCTTCACTGCGCGCCTATCGACGCTCAAGTCCTGCCGCCAAACGACATAAACTTTTCGCAAAAAACACGAATTTCCTCAAATATCACTTCAATATTACCCTTCTTATCACTTGAAGGAAAAAGGTTTTCTTATTGTCCTAATTCTAAGACTGTAAATAAGTCGAATTCTTCTCGAATCCGTGAATTATTCAAATTCTCACAGTTGCATGGTTTAGTCGCAAAATATTTAGATACTGTCAACCTGAATCATATATCGATATTCTTAACCGAATTTCTTCGCGAATAAACGACAGAATTAAGCAAGAATTTTACAAATTATTGACATCAACCTGGTCTTCTTAAATGTACTTTCTTTTCTTGAATAACCTAAATTTATTGCGATGTCAAAAGCGCTGACTAAACGCTTGTGAAGCGCGATTTGTTTTCATCATGAACTTCGTCAAGTTCTTTTGATTTCTGTCAAATTAACTTGCCTTAAAAATATATATATCACTATGAAAATTAAAAAGTATATACATCTAGATTTTCTTCGATAATTTTTCTTTTGATACCGCGGTGTATAAATTTTGATATAAAAAATCGAAGTTAAAAACAACTATTTCTGCTACAGTATACAAGCTTTGCAAGTCTTACGTATACAAGTGTGATCATAGTTGAAGTTCTTCGCGTTCTTCGGTTTCGAAGTTTTTCCCCGTTCACCTGTTTATTAGATTTTTATCGATTCTAAGTCTAGTTAAACTGTTTTTATTCGAAGAAATTCGATGAATTCCTTGGGAGGAATCGATAGAATTTAAAAGAATTTCTTAAATAGGAATATTTTATTTGACTGTGTAGGCGGAAGAGCCTCGAGTTCCGATGGTTTTGAAGGGCGAAAAAAGTCCTTTTCCTTCCATATTTTTTTCCAAAGGAAGATCGTAAACAAGATAATGTAAAAATATTCCCAAAAATAAGCATTATAACTTTATTCATTCAGTTGAAAAAGCCTATGTTCATTTTTTAAAGAAACTATATTGTGACTTTTAGAATCGCTTATTTTTTTACATTTTTGACCCTAAATTTTAACCTATTTTGATTGATACCGCTATGTATAATGCTAGAACGAAATTTTTCGGCCTTCACAACATATAATTATCTACAAAATGACCTTAATTTTTTTGAAATTTCCTAAAAACCTGTAATCATAATAACAACCTTTATAAGAAAAGACTATTTTTAAGTTTCAAAAATTCAATTGTTGTTCCATGAGATTTAATTTAAAGTGTTGAAAGTGGGAAATATTTCTTCAAACCAGCCTTCTTCCTCAACGCCATAATTTTTCCCCATTGTTGGATGTGGACAATCATATAGAAAAAAATGAGTGGGATAAATCAAGACAAAAAATATATAATAAGATTTGTACAAAAACTTATGACCATGTTATTTTATTTGAATTCATTGCCATTAATCATTTTTCTAAATTCCCATTTATTTTTTTATTTCTAATTAAAAAACATTGTATCCCAAACATGTTATATTTTTAAAACAGAGCTCCCCAACTGTTATTGCTTTTGATTACCATAACTCAGGGATCTCACAAAAAAGATATACCAAAAATATTTAGATTGCTATTGCTTGAAAGATGTTAAATGTGAAATTTCACCCAGGTTTTTCTCTTGTTTTTGTGGTCAATGTGAAAATGACCTTTGTTGATCTTTAAAATCAATATCATTATGTTTGTCTAAAAAGGTATATTTCTAGCAAACAGCTGTGTTCATTTCCATTTATTTTCTAGTACTAAGTGGTATTATCAGTCAATATGAATATTTCGTTGATAAATCTTTATTTCAAGTCTAAGGTCAGCTCAAAATTTTTAGTCTTGTAATGAGTCTAACTTTATGAAATATAATTTGACATGTAACTGCTTTTCTTGGTGGTATAGTTAAAGTGTCAGTTTTAAAGTTGTCAAGCTGCTTTTGAATACATTATTTTAAGAGTTTCCTGTGTCTACTACAATATGAATAATCATCCTTTATGTTGTATACTAAAGCTGCCATTGATTTAGGGTCAAAATGAAATTTTATGTTGACATAGTGTCAAAAAGTATTTGTGCCATTCCTTCGTTCATTCAATTATATACTGATTATGCTAGCTATATATACCTTATCAAAATCAAGGAATTACTGCAGTAGTTTCGGCATTTAACAAAATCTATATAGTTTGAAAATAATCAGAAAATTCCAGAATACTATGTATTCTAGATAACAAATAATTTTGTAATTTTTAATTTTATTTTTTCATTGGTTTAAAGATGAAAAGTTGTTTATTCTAGTGTTAAACATCTACTTTGTATTATTAGATCATATATCAGGACTTAAAATAACTGCCTTTTCTTTAGGCATTATAATAAATTCCCAAGACCAAGGTGCAAGGGCACAGTATTGCCTAGCTGGACCGACTTTAGGACACTAAATAACTTATTTATTTTCCCAATTTTTACCTTAATTATTTTGTTTTGGAATTTTGTTGTTGTTTAGAGATCCGTTATCCCAGAATAGCAGATTGCAGTCTGAAATAGAAAATATCTCCTGCTTGCAAAGCCAATCAGAATGCAGGTTTTTTAGGATACTGGAATGGAAAAAAAATGAAAAAATGTTTTAGTTAACTGAGATTATATTATAATATTTGGGACTGTATATACATTGCTACTTGTTAATGAAACTGTTTTGTCTGTAGGTATCACTTACCAGACCAGTGTTGTAGAGCATTCCTCTGAAGCCGACTGGGATGAGGTAAGCAGAACTACTTGAAGATTGGTGAACACAATATTTCTCAGTCACCCACTATGATCGTAATAGAGATAATAAAGCCAATGATGTACCAGCTTTGATTGGATAAACAGTAATCACATGAGCCATGCTGTTATGTGGGATAACAGTTCACTAATGAATATGAAATTGTATCAAAAAAGAGTGTCATATTTATTATTTTTTCAGGATTTTGAGTGGCCACTGGCGAGTCCTCTGGACCCCAGTGAATTCATCGAAATTGAAGTTTACACATTTAACAAAATATTCCAAAACAGGTATGTATTGTGTTGCTCTCTTATTTTCATTATCACTATTTTAATCGAATGGAAATAGAAAAGAATCCAATGGGAAATAGGAGAACCCAGAATTGTCAAGAGGGGTTGCGAGGAAAAAATACACCCGATTGCCGATATATAAGCCTTAGCATCTTAAATGAGACTGAAGGATGTGGCCTGTCTCATTTAGAAAATTGATAGTAGCATTTGTAATAAATCAGTGATTTATAGTACATCAAGGACTTGTATAAAAATCAGGCATGCACCATGTTTGCTCTTTTCATTTGATAACCTTTGATTCTTTTCAAGAGAGTTGATGCATTTATGATTTCTGATAATTTATTTTGACAGATTGGTTGGAGTGTTCAGAATGGTGCTACAGAGGCTTATCCAGGAAGGACATCTTGAAGTGGAAGAGAGTTTAGTGGATATGAATAATACAGTTCTCAAGGTAATGACTCCTGATTTTTGACACGTTCGTCTCAAAATATTAGTTATGGATTTATTTGCTTTGAATATTCATTGGCTTGCTAATGTAGGCATGTACATGTATGTAAAGTACTCTCAAGGGACTACTTGACAATTATCTGCTGAAGGCGAAGTGACTCTCAGTAAATAGTCATCATAATCACTGAGCCTAAGGGGAATAATTGTCTTAATTGTATAATTTTATAAATAAATATCAGAGAAAAGATGAAATTTAGGATAAAAAGACGTTTTGGTATTACTTTCCTCTGGCAAACTTTGAAAAACCTCATAATCACTGCTTGTCCTTTGATTATCATATCACAGTCACTGGTAGCTCAACCAATGACAGCGTGCAAAACTCTATAACCAAGTCTGAAATTATACTAAAGTGAAATACAGTAATGTAAGATACTCACAATTTATCAGAGTATAATAAAGTAGCATAATTGCATCATATGACAAGAGTTATGTGTGTGGTTTACTGCTAGAGCGCATGCATTAAAACCATGAGATAAAAACAAAGTTGATACTGACAAATAGTAGTTATTTAGTGACTAATAGTTGCTAGCACTCAACCAGAACATTCATTACACAAAGACACAAATGGTCTCTTGTGTATTTGTCTTTGTTTAATGAATGTTCTGTTTGAGTGCTAGCAACTATAAGTCACTAGATAACTACTATTTGTCAGTATCAACTTTGTTTTTAGTTTATGGTTTTAATGCATGCGCTCCATTGTCAACCATTAAACGTTTTTTTGAAACACGTTTGTCAGTATAATGAATTAGCATAATTGATCATGTTTTAGTGAGGTGATAAGAGGTGTCTGGTTCACTACTATTGTCAACCATCAAACTTTTTTTGAACCACATTTGTCAGAGTATAATAAATTAGCATAATTGATCATGTTTTAGTGAGATGACAAGAAGTGTCTGGTTCACTGCTATTGTCAACCATTAAACTTTGCTTAATGCACATTTGTCAGTATAATAAATTAGCATAGTTAATGTGTTGAAGTGAGATGACAAGATTAGTGTCTGGTTTTAGTCCAGCTCATTATGTATTCATGCTATGGAGTCTGTGTATATTCTTGGGTTGCAAAAACATGACTCAAAATCCCTTAAGATATAAACACACTGAACTTGTGAAAAGAAAAATCAGCCAATGAAATTTCCAGAAAACATCACGGTTGCGACAAGACACATATGGCACTGAGCCGTACACGTACATTTCACAGTCATACGAAAACTACCCTAACGTTTTATTGCGTTTTTTTTTTTTTCACCTAATATTCATTCAAGGAATTATTTTCTGCCACAGGCCACGGTAGCATTAGAGCTACAATACACCCCACCAGAAGGCAACGTCTCACAATGGGTCAATAACAACGGCATGATGACCGACGGTATCGACGTTACACCCAATGTAGGGTTCATCCCAGACTATGAATCAGAAATGTCCCGTACGAAGGAACGTCGAGGGTCCTTCATCAGTCTTACTGGTGGTAAAACCGTCAAGAGCCAATCAATGGTCAGCTTACAATCGTCAGGAAGTCACCGGCGGAACGACAGAAAAGATTCAATGCCCGCTTCTTTTAGTGGCGGGAAATACATCGGTGGGGGTGATAGCCAACTGGCAAGTATGGCATCACCGTTTGATGCTATGCTGGAAGGAAACAGGGGATTGGGTAGTAGGCGTGGCTCGCAGAATAGTGTACACAGTGACAGAAGCATGAGCACGAAGTGGTAGGTTGTGTGCTTCTCGTTTTATTTGTTTATGCATATTATAATTAAAAACGCCACGCAGTCAAATATAGCATGTTATATTCAAGATGATTTAGAGGGAATATCAGTATGAAAAAGAAACTTGTTATCGCTAATCACCACCGCAAGTAACGGCCAATCAGCCGCCGGCCAAATTAGTTTCAGCTTTGTCATACATGTACCTTATTTCTGACTAAACTTACTGGTCAAAGCGACCGGAAAGGCGAAAATTTGACCGGACAAGCCCCAGTTCTGGCTGGTCATTTTTCATGTCCCGCTGTTATTTGAAGCCCTGCAAGTACAGCAGTGGCGCAGCTTAACGGGGGCAAAGCTTGTAAAGGTGCCTTTGGCAGGCGCTATACAGTCCATGTATACCCTGAAGCACAGCTCCAACTTTGAATTTGTTAGCTTTGATTCTGAGATTGAAATTAATCCTAATGACTGGCAATGTCATTCATCAGAATCGAATACTGCATTAGTAATGAGGTTTTGAATTTTCCTACAGCAGCCACCAACATCCTCGCGTCCGCGCTGACAAAAAGATGTCGATCAGAGAACAAGATTATCAGGTATGTCACGTGATAAGCACGGGTTGCACCTCTCGACGAAGCTCAGTTGGCGAATATTGACACGTTTTCTCATTTAACATCTCGTCAAAAAATGTTGAATCGATTCAGAAACTTCTAAATTCTAACTAGATAAACTAGATTGATATCGAATTTGAACGCGACAAGATGAATTTCATATCTTTAAGTTTGCATGTATTGTTCTGTTTATTACATAAACGAATATCAAGCATTTATGTAAAACAATTATATTGCGCAGATAAGTACAAAAGCATTCGAACTGATTGGCTCATGTTAACACACATAAAATGTTAGTATTTTTACGGTTGTTTAGATTCGGCATTTCTCGGTGGCCAAATTCCATGAAAAACTGTAATATCAGGGGCGTAGCGAGGTCTTGATTATAGGGGGCAATGTATCATTTTCCCGCCAAATCCACAGGAAACCCGTATGAATTAATTAAATTTTGATACCGAGAGCAAACTTTTTTGGGGGGGGAGGGGGGGGACGTGCCCCAGTTTCCCGCCCCACCTACGCTAGTGTGTAGCATATGATATTTATGATGAATGAATTGATTGATGATATTTAGATCCAAGTTCGTATACACGAGGCTCGTCAGTTGGCTGGAACCCAGATAGATCCCGTATGTACCGTTACCATTGGAAACCAGAAGAAGAGTACCGCCATCAAGGAACAAACCAACTGCCCTTTCTATGATGAGGTACGGTATCTTGATCAAGCGGTCAGTTTGCACCATTATAGACCCGTATTGATGACTCACAATCGCATTAAGTTTTATATCGCGATTCTCTTATCGCGCGGTAATACGGGTTTGTATTGGCGGCTCTCTCCCGATAAAGGTATAGGGATTCGAATTTTGGGAACTTGAAATAAAAAGTGATCATTAGTTGTCTTGTATACGTCATCAAGCTAAGATGGAGTTAAGCTATCTTGCATCTGATTGGTGGATTGTTTGATTTATTTCAGTTCTTCGTCTTTGACTTCAAAATGCCAGCAACAGTGCTTTTTGACAAGATCATCAACTTCCAAGTACGTAACCCAGTGATTTGTGTTTTTCTATTTCAGTTGTATAGCATTATCTTTAGTATTGTTGTTGGCTGTTGGAAGTGGGTGTGGTATTTGTCGTTGAAGTTGTTATTGATGTCGTCGTGATAAACGTTGGTTGTTGTGGTAGTGGTTATGATTGTTGTGGCACTTGCGGTTGTCGTTGGTTGTTGAAGTAGTATAGTTATCGTCGTCGTGGTAGTTATAGCAGGTAATAAATTGTTCAGTTATTAGTTGTTTCTAGTTGTGTTAGTACTCATACTCAGTGTAGCGTTGTTTGTTGAACTTGTTGGTTGGTGTATTAATAGTTTTAAATCGTAAAACACGAATATTTAAAATTATTTTTTTCTTTATTCATCCCACAGTTCTTCACGGGGCGCAACTTGGTAACTCAAGGGGCTCTCATCGGTGCATTTAAGGTAAACACCAAAACCCACAAGTATTTTTATAACAAAATCCTTGTTATCACTATTCACTACCGCAAGTACAGCAGTGGCGCAGCTCAACGAGGTCGAACTGAAAGCATGTGAAGGCGCCTCTGGCAGCCGCTATACAGTCCATGTGTGACCCAGTAACACACCTCTAACCATGCAGTTTGAGAGGAGGGAGGAAAAACCCTCCGTATTGTTACCAACTACTCTATGTGTTTGAATATTACTAGTAAGTGGAATTTGATGGAAACTTGTGTTTATTTTGATAAAGCTTGATGTTGGTACAGTATATGCACAGCCTGATCATCGCTTCTGCAGAAGATGGGCAGTACTCACAGACCCTGACGAAACTCTAGGAGCTTCAGGAGCTGGTATCAAGGTACATACAAAATGCATATAGAGCATAATATATTTAACCACCCTGTCTGAAGACCGTAGTCACTAGATCCCTCTCGTCCAGTCATTAACATAGGCTACCCGTGCACTATTCCAGTTGCGTGGGCTGTTAATATGATAATCTTATCTCTGTGTGACATACATACGTGTATTTGTCGTTATGTGGGTGTATTGTAATAGTGTGTATGTGTGTGGGTGGATAATGGGTTACCATGAGGATTCTAGACGTAGGTACTGTGGAGATTATTACTGACCAGAAAAGACCATACAAAGCCGAAAAAAGACAGATGTTTTTATTTTTTTCACTGCATTTCCAAAGCATTTTGTAATCATTTGGCGTTTCCATTTCCCCCGCCACATTTTCTTGTCTATTTGTCACTTCTGCTGCAAATAAATAAAACCTTAACTCTAACTCTTAGAATTCAAAACTCTGTATTTTCGACATATATACTTATTTTTCCCTTTGATTTTCCCCTTTAATCTGTTTTGCCTCATTTGAATGTTTTACTGGAGAATAAACACTAGCGAAAACTACTTTAATTAAAATTATAAAAATAAAGTAAAATACATTACAAATTGATTCGGTTTATGTTTATCATCAGCGTCTAAAATGTAAAAGGAACGTAAAGAGAATTATTATTTCTACCGCCCTAGTGGTGGATATGAATAAACCATTTTAGAATTCCAAATTACCGCTGTGTTACTTAATTACAGACTCGGTCTTAGCTTTCCGTAAACTTGGTTACCTTTCGTGTGTCTGAGCACAGGCAACCCACCGTAATTACAAAATAAAGTTACAATAGAACAACTATAAAGAGATTAACCTACTAAATGACTTAGAGCAGTTTTCGTATGACTGTGAAAAGCTCAGTGCCGTAAGCGTGACGTGCCGTGACCGTGATGCTTTCTAGAATTTTAATTGGCTGATTTTTTCACGCGCAATGTGATTGGTCTGGCATTGCCGTGACCTTGCCGTGACCGTATACGGGCCGTGTTTATACCGTGTTCCGGGCATTTGATTGGATGGAGAGTGAATTCTCGTGCAATGTGATTGGTCTGGCGTATCCCTTGCCGTGTCATGGCCGTGTTCGTGCCGTGAATTTTTCACAGTCATACGAAAACTGCTCTATGATGTTTTGTTAATATAACATTTCTTTTTCTTCCAGGGTTATTCACGTGTGGATATCACAGTACTTGGTAAAGGCGATCCAGCTAAGGTATTACACATGACAATTGACTGTGTACCTACACCAAATTGAAAAAGATGTTGTTGAAGATCGAGGGGTATTCTGGGTAGTCGATCTTTGGTATTTCGAGAGTGTTGCATATAGACCACAGGGAGCCCAATTTAGATAAAAGTGAATGGTGAAAATAAAATCGAAAAAACTAAATAATTAATTACTTTTTTATTTCGAAGTCAAGATAATTTTCGCGCGCATCTTTGTTTTCCTATATAATTCCCTATGGTATGTAACGTCGTGTATATGTATAAATGCTCGTAAGATATACATAATACTGTGTAATCTGAATCAATGTTTGAGACCTGAAAACATGCATAATATTAACCTCATTTACTATTTACCCAGAACACAGTTCGGTGTTAGCTTCAATGAATAAACCTTTTCAACCCAACAACGTCTTTTCAATTTGGTGTTTACCAGTAAAGGTATTCCGGTCTTTAATTACTAAAGAAAGCTTCCCCTTTGTCTTGAGTTTGATGAGAGTTTGCTTTGATTGCCAGGAACCTCCAGGCATAAAGGACAACGATGATGATATTGAAGGGTAAGAACGTCGACTCACCAAACAATATTTTTATTGTATTAGTGTAACGAAAGATATGAGAATATTTGACGGCACTAGAGCAAGTTGTAAGAGCAGGTTGTAAGCCTGTGTAAAATGGGCGGCTTGCGTGACGGTAACGTGACTGAGTCCTTCACTCTGATTGGTACGATAGATGTCGTCAGTTCCGTACCGTGACCGAGCCAAGTGGCGTGACTTCGCATTGTGTGGCTTTAAAAAATCTGCCCTCCTTAGTTCATTGTATTTAATATTTAGCGGCCTACATTAACTTGATGAGCTGTGAATATGGCCAAAGATGTTGCGGGTGGTTTTCACTACTGAGCGACGGAATTGGTTTCGGAAGCGCACCGGAATCGGTTTCGGAAGCGCATCGGTATCGGTGTCGAAAGTGCATCGGATTCAGAAGGATCCCTTTCTCTTGGCTTGTGCTCACACTTATAAGTGACAAGAAGTTTTTACTCGCAATTTCATTCTTGATCATGAACTGTTCCCAACTCTGATTCCCATTCCTACGCGAATGAAAAACCAACCTCTAGTGTTGATAAGGCAACACAAGGAGTAAATTAACCAGATTAGTAGATTTACTGATCATTTATTGATCATTTTGTCAGAAATCTCCTTCTACCCGAGGGTGTACCAGCAGAACGACCCAAAGCAAAGATCATCGTCAAGATATACCGTGCAGATGGCCTTCCAAAAAGTATGTAGTAATTCAAAAGTAATTCAATAGAAACACAAAAAGACCCCAAGCTAGACAATAAAACTAAGCTAACAAAGAAAACAATAGGTTTACGGTAAGTGCAGAAGTACCCCTCCTACTTTTGTCAGTGGTCTGTGAAGCCCGTTAGTGAATGTTTTTACTTGTTTTCAGTGAACACTGGTCTGATGGCCAACGTCAAAAAGGCTTTCACAGGAGAGGTATGTTGCTTCTACGCTTTGAAAAGAAATGTTGAAAGTGTTATTATTACCAGGTGTTTTGAAAGATAGGCGCGCAACATATTCTTTGTCAGCAAAAATTTCCAGATATTTTATATTATTATCATTTCCAAGTATTTTTTGCCAAGACAAAATAGAGAAACAATATAAGGTGGAGTAACTTTGGCGATAATTTCACAATGACTAACTCATAGGACGTTTGCATGATTGGGTCATTGACCTCTATTATTATAATCCCTTGCACACTTTCTTTTGTTCAGTTAATTAGTACCAATTGTCTTACTATTCTAATTCGCGAAGCATTAAGCCCCGTTTACACTAGCGATTTTTGC